CCCGCTGCCCTTCTCACCACCTGCTCGTCGTGCCCCGGCCCATGCTATCGCTCCCCACAACCACCAGATCTTCACCTGCGACCTGAGCTCCGATCAAGATCTGCCTCCAGCCGCACCGGATCCACCTCGAGCTCCAGCCGCGACGACCACTAGACCCGAACTCCTTCTTCACCGTCGACGTTTGATCCCAACCGACAGTCGCCCAATGCCTCCCTTCTCTCAACCGCGAGCACAACCCATGACTTTGCCTCTGCTCCTCGCCGCTAACACCTTCGCAGGCCGCCGACCATCCCCTCCTGCCTCCCGACCGCGCCAGCCACCACACCACGTCCAGCCTCCTCACCGAACTCCGATGCCCTCAGCCACCCAACCGCCAGATCCGCCACTCTGACCAGCCCTGACCCACGCCTAGATCTCCCTACGACGCCGCCTTCACGCCGTAGCCCAGACAGCCGCCAACCCGTTGCCCACGACAGATCTATGTGCCCGACAGTCTCTGCAGTTGTCGCCTCCCTCCTGCAGTGCATAGCCGACGCCACGCTCCTCCGCGTCCGATCCGACCCGCACCGCCGATGTTAATTTGTTCGACGAAATCCCGAGGCAAGATCCCTCTTGCTGAGTTCTGAATTTTATACCTGTTATAAATTATCTGCATATATTAGTTGTGATATGACTATTATGCGTGGATTTGTTGTCGAATGGGATTAAAGAATTTTAAAGTGAATTATTTGCATAGTTTAATTATGAATTGTGATTATCTGTGTGGGACTGTTGATGACGATATTAAATGATTTCAAATGATAAATTAATGTTTCCTAGATTAATTAGAATTATTATGATGAGAAAAAAAGGATTTGTTGGGAAAAGAGTTGGTTTTGAATAATTATTAAATAGATAATTTAAAATAATTTATTTTGGAAAAACAGATTATTTGAATTGTTATACTATTTAGAGAAAAGATTATTTTAGAATAATTATTATGAATTAAAAGAATTTATTTTGATAGTGGAATCATTTTTTGGATAATTATATTAATTAAAAAAAATTATTTGAGAACGGATCATTTAGAAAAATTATAATAATTTAAAAGGAATTATCTTGGAAAAGAAGCATTTTTGATAGTTATGATGGTTTAAAGGAATTTATTTGCAAAAAGAATTATCTATTTTGGATTTTAAGTAGTTTATGATTTTTGTATGAATAGTTTAGAGGGCTGGATAACAAGATACTGATGAAACCGGACTGCAAGTATGTTTTTTTACTGTTTATGCTCACATTTCACATTTTGCATTTATTTAATGTATTTGACATGTCTGTTATGTATTGTCCATGTTGTGTTTAAGAACCCTTAGTAGTTCATGACTTAGTGGCCTCGTGCGTCATGAACAGACTTAGTGACATGTGTGAGTGTGTTGACTGAGTTTAGGTGGTGAACCCGAGTTTCAATGAGGATTATGGTTGATTTAGAAAAACGAGATTAGGTGGTGAACCCGAGTTTCAATGAGGATTATGGTTGATTTAGAAAAACGAGAAGAGTTGGGATGAGAAAGTTAATGTTCATGTGCTTGGATGTGACTGTTGATGTATCTTCCAGCCCACGTTAGTGAATTCATGTAGTCACTGGGGTTGGTTTGTTGGGTTAAAGTTAATTCGTGTAGTCACTTTAGTCCGTGACCTGTTTCGTCACCTGAGCTTTGCCTGAGTTTGAACCAGGCCGAGATCGGATTGCTTGTTGTCCTCTGACCGATTCATGTAGCGGTATTGGATGCGCATTGAGGATTTGTGAACAGTCAGTTATCCGATGATATGAATGTTGACTTTATGTGAGATGTGGACCAGTGAGTTTTAGGATGGCTAGTTACATGACATTGTTTCTTGGCTAAGTATGAATTCCTGTGAGATGTAGGTCAGTTGTATTTATTTTCATACGTAGATCGGGGTTAATATTTAATTATCTACAATTTGAGACATATGGTATATACATGGGGGTTTCCTTGTTTGGATTATTTTGCTCGACGTACTACGTCTCTTGTTATAGATTTTTAAGTATTAATTTCATCTAATTGTATGACCTTGTTAGTTGGATGATTGTTCTGATCGCTAATTGCATGATCGACTTGTTACTTGATTGATTTTGTTGAATTTATAGTTGCACGTCCTTTTGTCATTTCTATTATCGTATCGTTTTCCGCTTTGGGTTTTCGATCGTTCTATTTCTTTTGTGGGGTCTTGCCGTGTGCCATGCACGCTGATGTACACCTGTTTTCTCTGGTGTACATCAGACTTAGAGGAAGAACAAGTTTAGCTGGGAGATCGTCAGGAGCCATAGGATTCTCAGCAAGAGTGCCTTGTAGATAGAGTTGAAGAATGGGCTGAAGTTCAGCTACCTCTTCTTAGTTGATGATCCTAGTTTCTTTTGTAGTATTTCCTTTTCCGCTTGATCATTGTATTTTATTTTCTCTAGTATTCTTTTGTTCAAATCTGTATAAGGGCATGTTTGACCCGTATTTTTTTTGTCTTGGATGATATTCATTTGCGATATGATATGTATTATTTTATTCTGAGTTTGTCTATTATATTCTTACTGATTGTGATCGGGGACCTGTGCCTTTGCATTGTATATATTTCCAAACTCTTAGCATATTAGGTTGAGGAGAAAATTTATTATCCTTAATCTAATACGCTGTGGGCTTGTTCACGTTCTGATTCCCGGATATTTTGGGAAGCAGAGTGTGACAGACTCCCTGCTATACCAGGATCTCGATTCGGACGACCTGTCGCCGACTGAAGGATTCGAAAGCGGTAATGAGGCGGATAGAGAACCCGAATACGGTGACGGCCTTATCTTGGATGACTTCGAACCAATTGTGAAAGCCCTGATGTAACCGACGCTGGCCAAGCGGACATGATTATCATGAATGAAAATTTCAACTTTGCTTACTTGTCGTCTTGCCCGAAGTCCGATGATGATGAACCCGGCGACTCAATTGCAGGGTTGTATGATGACTCCTCCTTACACTAGCCTGTATGCTCGTCGTATGTCATGAGAGGACAGTCAATCGAGTCCTCGCAGGCTATATTTATCGTGCCCGCCTAGGATAGTTATCAGAAAGATATCATCTTCGGCATGATAGACAATCCCTTGCGCACGATGTGGGACGAATCAGAGGAGGAGGAGCCCGCACCCCAGTTTTTGTAGTACAATCAAGTAGCAAAGTGCATGATGGAGGGCATGGGCTATGACCTCGCTAGTCGAGAAGGTTTGAACTACGGCAAAGGGTAGAAGATGGTTATTCGACCCACCTACGTGCCTAAAGGAAGCCCCCCCAAACTATTTTAGTAAAACTCAGAGAGGTTTGGGTTACACCTCCTCTTTGTCGGAGTTATGCTATAATCTCGACGAAGACTCCGATGACCCTTGCTCGGATGATCAATCATCGACATCCTTGGCATGGGACTCGGACATCAGTATAGGAGACTGGTTCAAAGGTCTCACAGTCAACATGGCTACGACCGATCCTACCAAAATGGCAGAGGACGAACAAGTCCCGCTTTATGATAAAGCATGAGACCACCATATCAACGCTCAGTGGAACAGTCACTTCGAACAGCGCGAACTGGCCACGAAGGACAAGATACTCCAGATAAACATAGGCGATGAGACCAGTCCCAAGCCCATATTCATCAGCGACAGTTTGCCTTCCCAGGAGAAGGAGGACCTCATATCCCTCATACGGGAATACATCGACGTCTTTGTATGAAATTACGAGGATATGCCCGGACTCGATCCTCAGATTGTCATGCATCGCCTCAACATCAGTCCGAACCCAAACCAGTCAAACAACAACAAAGATGATTTTGCCCACAAATCATGGAGGTAATCAAAGCCGAAGTGAAAAAGCTGATCGAGTCTGGCTTCATCAGAGAGGAACAACACCCTGATTGGGTGGCTAACATTGTTCCGGTCCTGAAGAAGAACGACAAGATCTGTATCTGCATAGACCTCAGGAACCTCAATGCCACCTGTCCGAAGGACGAGTTCCCTCTACCCATCACGGATGTCATCATCGACAACACGTGTGGGTTTGAGAGGATGTCATTTATGGATGGATTCTCAGGATACAATCAAATCAAGATGCACCATGAGGATGAAAAGCACACCTCGTTCAGAACTCCGATAGGGGTGTACTGCTACACGATCATGCCTTTCGGACTCAAAAACACCGGTACAACCTATCAACGTGCTATGAACACGATCTTTCGAGACTACCTGTGGAAGACAGTTGAGTGCTACGTAGACGACTTGGTTGTGAAGAGTCGTGACAAAGACTACCACCTCTAAGACCCGAGGGTGATGTTCGAACTCATACGAACTCATCAACTGAAAATGAATCCCATGAAATCATTCTTAGGAATGTCCAGTGGTAAATTCCTTAGATTCGTCATCACAATGAAGGGAATCCATATCGATCCCGATAAGGTGCGAGCTATCCAGGAGCTTCAGCCTACCCAGAATCTTAAGGAATTAAGAGAACTCCAGGGACGATTGGCCTATATCCGAAGGTTCATCTCGAATCTTTTGGGCAAGTGCCAACCCTTCTCCAAGTTAATGAAGAAAGGTGTCTCATTCGTATGGGATGAGCCCTGCCAACGAGCGTTTGAAGAAATCAAAGCTTATCTCTCAAACCTATCTGTCCTGGCAGCTCCGATCTTAGGAAAACTATCCTCATCTACATACGAGCCATGGAGCATTCTCTTGGCACTCTCATAGTGTAAAATGACGACGTCAGTCATGAGCAAGGTATCTACTACCTGAGCAGAATGCTGCAGGGAGCCGAGCGGCAGTACCCTATGGTCGAAAATGAATGCCTAGCCTTAGTATTCGCTATCCAGAAGATGCGACACTATTTGGTCAGCCAGACCATCCATGTCATTTCTCGACTGAACCCCATCTGGGTCTTCATGACGCAACCTGGAGCCTTGAATTAGCGCCTGGCTAGATGGGCACTCCTGCTGTCACAGTACAACATCCACTTCATGCCGTAGAAATCGGTCAAAGGACAAGCCATTTTGATCTCATGACCAGTCATCCACTGGAAATGAGAACCAAAATATTTGAAGACCTGCCGGATGAGCCCCCTGAGGCCAACACGACCTCTCCAGAGGAGGTTTGGCAGATATTCTTTGATGATGCGTCTCATGTCAACACGAGCGGATCTATCATGGCAGAAGTGGGGGTGGTCTTGATCTCCCCACGCAGCCACATGTTACCTCGAGCCTTCTCCTTAACAGAGCCATGTACCAACAACATGGATGAGTACAATGCACTACTCATTGGACTCGAACTAGCCAAGGAACTGGAGATAAAGCACCTCAAGGCCTACAGTGACTCTCAGCTCATCGTCAAGCAAATGACGAGAGAATATGAAGTCAGAAATAACGATCTGATCCCGCTTCACAAAACAGCTATCAAAATAGCTGAGTCATTCGAAAACTTTCACATTGAGCATGTGCTTCTTTCCAAGAACACACACGCGGATGCCCTGGCATCCTTAGTAGCTAACCTTGCCCAGCCGCTAGGAATGACTCAACGTGTCACTGTCGCAAGCCGACGACTCTTTCGGCCAGATGATGCTCTGGAAGTAAACGTCACTCAACAGGCTTTGGGTCAACTTGACCCGAAAGATTGGTGCTTCCTAATCATCGACTATGTCTTATACAATATACTGCCCGAAGACGCTAGGGAGCGAGAATCCGTTCGCCGATGCACCACAAGGTTCTACTACGACTCGACCATGAAGGTATTGTATCATAGGTCGTATGACAACATGTTATTACGATGTCTTTCAAAGACAGAAGCACAAGAGGCTCTACGTGAAGCCTATGATGGTGCTTGTGGGGCTCACCAGCCCGGACCTAAGCTCTGGGATCGTTTACGAAGGATAGGCTACTACTAGCCCAGAATGATTAGCGATGCAGTCGTCTATGCCAGACATTGCCACACGTGCCAAATCCACGCTAATTACATGCACCGTCCGTCGGAAGACCTACATCCGACAGCAATGTCGTGGCCGTTCGAGTCATAGGGAATGGATATCATCGGGTCGATATCTCCACCATCAGCACGAGGTCACCGCTTCATCCTTGCAATCACCAACTACTTCTCCAAATGGGTGGAAGCTGTTCCCCTAAGAGAAGTCAAGACCAATGACATGATTAGATTCATTAAACATCACGTCATTTACCGATACAGCGTCCCAAGGTGTATCATTCATGACAATGACACGCAGTTCGTTAGTCATGCATTCACCCGGTTCTGCGACAAGTTAGGATACATAACATTTCCTCTACGACTTATAATACCTCTACAAACGGTCTAGCCGAGGCCTTCAACAAAACGATCGTTAAGATCCTAACCAAGCTGACCTCCAATAGCAAATGCGATTGGAATAAAAAGCTCGACGAAAGCTTATGGGCATATCGCTATGACGGTTCGCACACCGACCGGCACTACGCCTTACTCATTGGTCTACGGCTATGAGGCCGTGCTACCTCTGAAAGTGCAGATCCCATCTCTTCGCGTCGCCCTCGCAACAGGAATGATGGTGGAAGATGGTCATCAACGGCGTCTCGCAGAACTTGAGGCATTAGATGAGAAGCAACTTGAAGCTTAACAACACATTGAGTTCTACTAAGCCCGAATAACCATGGCCTTCGATAAGAAAGTCAAACGCTGATCCTTCAAGGAGGGAGAATTGGTCCTTGTCATTCGCCGACCGATGATTCTCAACTCTAAAAAGAAGGGCAAGTTCCAGCCCAAATGAGAAGGACTGTTCGTGGTAGAGACAATCTATTCGAATGGAGCCTATCGTCTTGTCAAACCAAATGGCGATAAGATCATGATGTCTATCAATGGCAAGTTCTTGAAGAAGTACTACTCTTAGTACTCCTCTAGACTCCCACTGGTGCACGAGTCTAAACTGCCATTTCATCCTCTAACTAGGACGTGAGGCTAAACTATCACTACCTCATATACTTCGTCATATACATGAGTGTGAGACACCGCTTACGGGGAGCCCCCGAAAGATGCTACATATAGTATTTTTAGGGATAACCCAAACCCCCCCCCCCCCCATTGGGTCAAACCTTTCTATAGTTTGGACCAAAATAAACTATTAAGTTAACCCCCACCTCTGATAGTCATTTCTCCGTCAGTTTCATTCAACTGGACGATGGATCCAAAACAAACTATCAAGTTAACCCCCACCTCTGGTAATTATTTCTCCATCAGTTTCATTCAACTGGACGATGGATTCCTTCAAACTATCAAGTTAATCCCCACCTCTGATAGTCATTTCTTTGTCAGTCTCATTCAACTGGATGATTGATCTCTTAAAACTATCAGGTTAACTATTTACCTCTAACAGTTTCCTTCAAGTTTTCCCCGTTAGTCCTCTCCAATAGGATGACACGACAAACTCCCACTGTCACGTTAACTATTACCTCTGGCAAAATCAACTTACCAATCCTCTCCAATAGGATGGTAAGCCCATAGAGTTGCTCACATCGCAACAAACAGTCCCATCATGTTAACTATTACCTCTGGCAAAATTAACTTATCGATCCTCTCCCATGAGACGATAGGTCCTCATAGTTGCTCTGATCGCAACACGATTCTATCATGTTAATAATCACCTCTGGTAGCCGGCCTCGTCATTCCCACGAATGACACTGCCCGAGTAGTAACCTACCATGTGACATGTTGCTACTCTGGTCAGTTGTCACACTCATACGTCCCTGAACGACCCGACCTATTCTGAATGTTCTAATATTCTCTTAGAACAATCGATGGGTAGCAGCCCACCATGCGATGGCTCCTACAACAATCAATCATCACACTCTCACGTCCCTGAACGATTCGATTATCTTAACACCATCATTCCCGCAAATGACAGTGTTCATTGAGGGCCTTTGACCAGATAACGTACTTCATCGGCCCCCAAACAGTAACTTGCTAAACAACGAATTTGTGTTAGAACCCTAACCAGGTCGCACACACAAATGAACACATTAGCTGGGCTAGGTTGTTAACGTTTAACAACTCTACCCCACCTAAACTACGACATGACGGTCAGAGTTAACCCAACCCTACGTATCGAGAAGCCGAAGGTAAAGGAGAGAGCTTAGTGAGAAGCCTAAGAGAAACTCCTCAACAACTTACCATACAAAAGAAAACAGTATGGCTAGCCTGACTCAAACAACAGTCGGTGAAAGCGAATCAAAATCATTGACTACCAATGATTTGCTAAAAGTCCTAAGCATGAACCAACACGGAAAATAAAGAAAGGCTACGAATGCAAAATCAAGAATAATCAAAAGCATAAGAAGCCATTCCAGACAGAGTTTAAGAGCAGTATGTTTTAGACAAAGATGTATCAAACATCAACAACATTACAGCAATTCATAACAAAAAGGAAATATCGTAAATGAGCTTCAGCAGACTGAAGGTGGCGATCCTGGCCTTCACATCCGCAAGCTCCACTCCCTGTCGAGCTTGGACCTTTTCTTTCTACCTCTGTTAGAGCTTAGCGAGAGCAGCCTCAGCATCCTCCTCTTCCTGGCGCAGACCTTGGAGGGCTTCCCACTCCTTGGTAGCAACGCGAAGGACCCTTGCATTCTTCCGTTGCAACCTCGAGAGGTTCACCTCCCCCTCGGCGCTCCCAGCACCCATGTCAAAGGCGTTAAGATAGGCGTCCATTTGGTCCAGTAAGTCGTGGTGCCTTCGACGCAAACGCTTAAGCTTGGCCTCCTTCTCCGAGATGCTCCTCTCTCGAGCTTCGCGTTCGAGCGCCCTTTAAAACTGGGCACTCATCAGCAGAGGTGTTGGTTCATCGCTGGGCTCGGCATGCGCCAGTTCCTCTAGATGGTATATGAGCCCTTCCACGTGATGAAGCTCTCGCTTGCATCGCCTGGCGAGTTTAGAGCCGCCCACACAATGGATCTCCTCGAGGCTGTTGGCCACAAAAGGGAGCATGTCATAATACCTCCCGCATCCCTGGCTAATGAGAGTAGCTTCCCATTGCAAGGAGGCCTCCAGCTTCTGAAGAAGGCCATACACCAAGGAGGGGCCCGGAGCAGTCGACCCTTGAGTCGGGTCAATAGGGGCGGTAGGCACCACAATAGCACCATCAACTACCAAAGAAGAAGCAACCTCCTTCCCCTTTGAGATGCATGATTTCACCTCGGAAGCCTCTTGCGAGCAGGAGAGATGTTCAACTCTCATTAGATGAAGCCTCTTGAGTGCGAATAGTCCTCAAGAGGAGGACGTGCGAGCTATTTGAACAGGATTTCGACAGTCGAGATCCACAGTCTCGAACTGAGCAACGGTTCTGATTCTTTGGGGCATTTTGAAATCTACGATTATGAAGGCCCAGACCTTTGGGATCTGAAACCAACAGCTTGGATCGAGCACAAAGGGCGAGGTGTTCCATCACTTCACATTTAATGCGAGGCGGTGTGCCCATGTCGCCTTAGCTGGCGAGCACAAGGGCCCACAAACGGATGCGTGGCCTACTCAACCCGACTTCACCTATTGCGGGGAGTTCGTAGTGACATAAACTCACCAAAGCTTGAGTTTGCCTGTGACATAAACTCACCGAAGCTTGAGTTTGCTTGTGGAATAAACTCACCGAAGCTTGAGTTCGCCCGTAGCATGAACTTGCCAAAGCTTGAATTCGCCTTTGGCATAACTCACTGAAGCTTGAGTTCGCCTGTAGCATGAACTCGCCAAAGCTTGAGTTCACCCTTGGCATAACATCACCAAAGCTCGAGGTCGCCTATGGCGCGAACTCGCCTAAAACTTGGAATCGCCTAAAGAGCTAGATGCTGGATAGCAATATGCAGTAATAAAAGCAAAAATGAGTACGTTCGCCATACATTGAGAAAATGCAAAGTTCATTCATCAGCAGTTTTCAAGACAGTACATTTGAACAAAGTTATGACTTTACAATCAAGCAAGTCATAACATTACATTGGAAACAAAAGATTGAACAAGACACTTTGAGTTTAATCCTATCCTACAAGCTTATCCTAGAAAAGTAAAAAATGCGAGCTTTGCCTTGACCTTGGCTATCCTTTCAGCATGGACTGCACGAGCCTCGTCCTTAGCCTCCTGCCTGACTGATAATCACATTTTATTACAATTTTATATCCTTATTATCTAATTTATAGGAATAAATATGCCACTAATAATTATTTTTATCTTTAATTACAGGTTAATGAAGAATAAATCTTAAAAATCCCATCTCTCAACAAAAGCCCATTGATTTAATGAAGAAAACAAGTATGAAGCCCAAAAGCCCAAAGTCAAATACAACAAATTCAGCGGATAGCAACCAACATCGAAGGGGCATCGATGCCAGCATCGATGCCAGCATCGATGCCCGTATCGATGCCAACATCGATACCCCTATCGATACTGGTATCGATACCATCGGCGTTCTGTTACAGATTAATGGCTGAAATTTGCTTGTTTTGGATAAGATTTCAATCCAAGGGCTCTTATTCACTGATGTTTACTATAAATAGGGGTAGAGAGTAAGGGGTTAGGAGTGTAAAAAATTTTGTAACTCCATTTGGAGAGGAGGGTTACTCTTAATTGAGAAGACCTTCTAAATTTGTAACTTTTGTTACAATTAATAAAAAAAATTTTCTCCACTTTAAAATTTTCTTTTCTCCTCTTTGTTGAATGATGAGGATGGAGATGAAGAGAAATTTGAAGGTTTGCATTTCTTTTATTTTTCTCTTTTATTTCTTTTTAGTAATTTCTTTATTATTGCTTATTAGTTAGAATTACATTCATGCTTGTAGTGTAGATTTATTTTCTTATCTTTTTATTTCTTTTTACACTTTAATTTATAGAGTAGATTTATTTTCATGCATTTAATTTTTATAATTT